AAAGAAAAAAGCCGTACTTGTCTGTTAAACATCGTGAAAAGCGATTGGCCTTCGCAAAAAAATATAAGGATTGGTCGCGAGTGGTGTGGTCAGACGAATCAAAATATCAAATATTCGGGTCTGATGGACGTCAATACTGCTGGAAAAGAAAAAACGAACCGCTAAAAAGTGCTCACGTTCAACTTACGGTCAAGTTCGGTGGTGGTAGTATAATGGTATGGGGTTGCTTCGGTACGGTATTAACGGTACTGGATACCTTCATAAGATCGATGGGATAATGGATGGCAAAAATTTTCGACAAATATTTTCAAATGAACTTATAATGTCATTAGATTTGTATAATTTAGAGCTAAATGATTTTATTCTTCAACAGGACAACGATCCGAAACATACCGCAGATAAAACATCAGACTGGTTCAAAAATAATAATGTGACTGTTTTAAATTGGCCGCCACAGTCACCCATCTAAGTCCTATCGAAAATTTGTGGCATGATGTGGATATTCGTCTTTGTGCTCTCCAGGGGTAATTTCTAATAAAAATGATCTTTGGGAAAGATTAGAAATTGATCGTTGTATTGATCTAATTAATACGATGCCGGAAAGGATTGATGATGTGATCAAAGCGAAGGGGGGTTATACGAGGTGGTAAAAATAATCATTTTTAATAAAATATGTTGAACGAATAAATTTTCGTTACAAAAACGGCAAAAAAAAACGCACTAGTGTTTAGGGGGATTAACGATTATTACAGATGATTGGGAATAATAATGTCTGTTCGTTTTTTATTTACATATATAGTTAGGTTAGCTATTGCTTATTTTATCATTTGTGTGTTTGTCGACATGATCGAATGGATCTTTAGTGATTGAGGATTATGTGATTAAAGATTGACAATGCGAGTGGTGCGTTATTTATGCGGGCCACTGTATATATCGATTTCATCACTTAACACAAAACTAACAATGCATATACATGTATTACAAATTGCATGTAATTCATAGATTAACATTTTTAGTTATTACATGTTCTAGCACTAGCGCACAACCCATTACTGTTACCTATCGCTATAATACATTTTTTCTTAAATAAATATGTTCAGTATTTAATGTGGGGGATCATGATAAAAAACGGATTATGGTGAAAATTTTGGCCAAAATTGTGCAGATCATTTGGCCAGAATTATCGACATTTCTTATAATAAAAGAGCAAGATTTTGAAATAATGGTAAATGCATAAAATAATTAATTTTGCAATAATGTTTATATTGCTAAGACTATATCGATATAAATTTATAAGTATAATTATTATTTATAGTTTATTATAATAGATATTGCAAATTTTCACCATATCCGTTTTTCATCATGATCCCCATTTAATATCCATTGTTATTACCGGGGCTGTTGCTGCCACTTGCGATTACATCAATATCTCTATTCGATCTTTTTTTCGCTTGTGGAACTTCACTAAGTATAATATGTTGTGAATAATAATCTGGATTATTTAATGACCTAGCAGGAACATGACCAGTTTCTTCATGTTGAAAATACGTAACATTATTTGGATTTGATGGCGAGGTCGATTGATTATTATTAATCATATCATCATAATATTTTCTTAATCGGAATCCTGCCAAATAATGACGACTTAACGTTTGCTCTAAAAACCAAAGTTTTTCGTTAATTCGAGAATCTATTTTTCGTAGTATTTCAGTGTCATTCATTCCTGTAGAAGACATATCGATATCTACTGCTACTGGAGTATCAGTGCGGAAATGGGATCGAGTTGGCGTGCCTGTGGTATTAAAATAGTATTCGGAATCTGGGCGAGTCGGAGGTGGTGATAGACTTGGCTCGCTAAATGCTTCATTGAATTCTTCTTTTTCCATTAACGGAAGTTTTGCTGCATTTGGAGAATTTCGTAATAGAAAACGTTGAATAAAACCCCAAGATCTATATTTTCCTCGTCCAAATAAAAATATCCAAACTGCTATTGCGTATGTAAGAAGACCCCCGATAGTACCAACTAAGTCTAACCATGTATATGGTTGTGTTTCTATATATTTAGTTACCTAATTTCATAGATATGTCAGATACTTGATAACGATACGTAATCATTAAATAAATTATTGGCTTACCATATACGTATCTGGAGAATAATTAATCTTTACAGCAATTGTTTCAAGTTCAAACTTCTCTATTTGAAGTGAATTTTGTTTATTAATTGTGAAATCTTGATGTATTTCTTTATTCAATCCAGTTCGAATTGTCGATGTAAACGTAAAATGATTAATGGTTGCAGTACGAGCGACGAACGGTTTTATGACACTAATGTCACGTTCAGCATTCCAAAATCCAAATACTGCCCCAATCTGCGAAGGTTCACTAGAAATATTATGTTGGGTAATCGCATTGATCGAAATATAATCAATGGATTCTGAATCATTTGTCAATCTGAATTTAAGCATTCCATCAGGCTGAAAAATAAAACATGGGTCTTTCTTGTTCTCCGTCAAATCACCACCAGCTTTAAGTATAGTCTCATCTGCTTGCCATAGATAATCCTCAACCATTACCGCTCTTTTACCTAACGGGATTTTCTCTACAGTAATGTGATCAATGAGCTCTCCACATACAAAAAAATTTGGCATTGGAATTCCTTCGGTGGTCATATTCACAATATTTATCGTGATTAATGGGTCTTGATGATGGACTATTTTTCTTATGTTCGGAACTGCCAAAAAGATAATTATGCTTGTCATAACAAATGCAAGTATAACTCGAAGAGTTGTCTCGGCTGCAAGTTTTTTCGATTCTCGTTCTTTTGATGATACCATTTTCTTTACGTTATTATTTATAATTTAGTTTCTTTTCCAGACGTTCAATATATACCGTATTTCGCGGGCTCAAGTACCCGGGGGTTACACAATTTATTTTCCGTTTATTTATATTGTTAAAATATTGGGTATTATACAAAAACCGCTTTCAAAAACCATGGGGGGTTACTATTGTCAGGAAGTATTTAGCCCGCGAAATACGGTAAGCGATAGTAAATATCGATATGCTCTGATTTTCCTTAATTTGTTTGTGTACCAGATTTGGTCTTACGTGAAAGAATCTAAAACTGGTAATGTATATGCAAGTCAGATTCTAGACTGCTAATAATGACAACAATCGATATTGCTTAATTTGATTTAACGTTAAATTTTCAGTGCCTGTCTTAACAGTGTTGTCGCTTGGACGTAAATCCAGCAATTTGATTGGTTGGGACAAGCGTCCTGACCAATCAAATTGCTGGATTTGCGTCCAAGCGACAACACTGACCTGTCTTAGGTAATGGCTACTGTGACAAATTTACAGTATAAAAAAATAACCACAGAAATCATTTTTAAAATTTCCATTTGTTCCTTACAAAATTGCGACACGGAAATACAATTACGTATTAATGCTTTCCCGTGTCAAAAACTGGACTGGTTAAGATCACGTTTCCATTTGTTCCTTACAAAAAAAATTGCGACACAGAAATACAATTACGTATTACATGTATTACTTTCCCGTGTCAAAAACTGGTTAAGTTCACGTTTCCATTTGTTCCTTACACAATTGTGACACGGAAATACAATTACATATTAATGCTTTCCCGTGTCAAAAACTGGTTAAGATCACGTTTCCATACTTTAACGTATGTTTATTTTCTGTGTGTCCTGTGTTTAATTTTTAGTCATAATTTTTTATATTAAACTAGATTACAGTCACCCTTTTATAACGGCGCGGTATATAACGGATCCTCTTTATAACGAATGAAATTTTCGGAACCATCACAACCGTTACAAAGAGGTTTTATTGTACATGCACTTTTTTAATAAATGAGCCTAGCTTTCTAATTTTAGAACATATCAATATACAGTGACCGTCAAATGTTTTGCATCGCACAAAAATAAAATTAGTACATATATAATTCAATATCAAGTCATAATTAAAAATTTCCCATTATAATTCTTTATCTATGGTGCCAATAATACATACGATGTTACCAACGCCGAAGAAAGAAAAGCAACCCCAGATTGTAATACTTTCACCACCAAATTTAACCATAGGTTTTGCATGACTGTCATCTAGTGGTTCATTTTTTGCATTTCCAACAATATTCACGACCATCTGACCCATAGAATCATCCACCATTCAATCATTGTATTTCTTAGCAATTTTTTTTATTTAATTCTAGCAGAAAAACCGTTTCTACGTAAAGTTCTTCTACTAGTACTATCACTTACATTGATTTTATTATTAGTTTGTAATTTTTTTTTTGAATCGATACAGCATTAGAACATTCATCACTCGAAATATATCGTATAATATTACGTTCATCACGGCCTATAGAAAATCGTAGGCGACCAGAGTTTGGTAATCTTTTACGGAGCCAGTAGTTTTATTTCTTTTCTTTAATCCTTCTTGAAAGGGCAGAAATTTGTGATCTTTGTACGATAGTATATACGACCCATATTGATTTAATGATACGTTTATAAAAATAAAATGAAAAACTATACTAATAAGTATAACTTTTATATATTATTCGAGTTGTGTTTTGTATAAAATTTGGAAATGTTATATCGATTTACTTTTGAATGAACGAACAGTCAAAAAAATGCATTGCTAAAATATTACATTTTTGTAAATTATATTGATATGTTTATTTATTTCCAAAAGTAATAATTAAATGAATTTTAAAGAACTTTTAGTTTCCCATTTTTGTTATTTACTGTTACATGATGTTATTACGTATTCATTAACGTTTACAAAAAACTGATCATTTTTATTAGATTTGTCTTGAATAATGCCTAAAAGATCAAAATTATAGATTTTGAGCATCTCTCTCTTGAAAAATTGTTAGTTTAGAAGGTAACAAATGTTCTGATAGACCTCAAATATTGATTGAATGAAATAAAAGATGATTAATTAAACAATCAATAAAAACAATCAAAGAAAATATTTTTTAAAAAAATAAGCATACTATTAAATAGAGCAGTTTCATTTATTTTTTGAAAGCTTAGAACTAGGAATTTAATAAAAATTTGATTATTTAATTATCACATATCAATATGAGGGAACAGATTGATAACTTAAAAAATAATCTTGATTCTAATCACATCAATATAAATTAAGATGCAAATTATTTTAGAAATATCAGTCAAAGTTAGTGAATGTGAATAAAGTGACTAATTTTACATGCAGGGGATTCTATCGTACGTTTAACTTTAATGTTAGAGTATACCGATACGATACAATATCTTATATTTTATTTAAATACTTTATATTTATTATGTATTTACTTGCTATTATCTCATACACATGGACAAAATAAACTGTGAATCTCTGTCACGTAATCCTATAAAATTGGTAAAAGCGAATTACATGTATATCTTCATAGAACTTCAATTTATTATCATGTTAACGTGCATAAGAATTTCACATGAAAAAGAAATGGAACACGCAACCTTCGTTAATATTAATCCAAACAAAATAAACAAGTATTGACAACTGATTATTGTTCAAGAATTGTTGAAATTAATGAATCAACAAAATAACATAACAGTACAGTTGAAAGAACAAAGACTGAATGATTTATGATTAATAGGGTTCACTAAAAGTTCTAAAGGTCTCCTGTGGTAGCTTGTATGCAAACTAACTTATTACAAAAGATAAAATAGACGTAGGAGAATAAACAAAAGGATATAATAAATTAAGAGAATATTAAAATAACTAATGAAGAAAAATAACAGGACTTATTGAGATTGCCTAATGAAATAAAATAAGAAAATAAAATAAAATAACTATATCAATTACTAAATAAGATAAGCAGAACTTATTGAGACTGCCTAAAATTTAAATAAATAAAAATAATAATGTCAACAGCTTATTTAGAGTGAAGCAGCATCCACTACTTGATTTGAAGATGATTACAAAAAAATAGTGTATTTACAAGAACTTTGTTATTTTTTATTAGATCAGAGCAGGAGAATTTTTAGCAATGAGAGACTCTTCTTATATTTATTTTCAATACTTTCTGTGATTTACATGACTAATAATTATTCTAAATTATATTACTATTTATATATAATATTAAACAAGATTGAAAGAAGAACAAGAACTGAAAAATAAATAAAAATACAAAAGAAATTAATATAAATTTAGTGATTAATAAGAAAAATTATAAAAAAATTCTAAAGAAAAATTGAATAACATGAGGTAAATCATAAGAAAAGACAATATTAAAAATAGAAATGAAAATAAAGAAAGATGAAAATAAAATATAAAACTAATATAAATATAATTGAATAAATATAATGAAATATGAATTAAGAATGTTCTTGTTGGAGATAAAGTATAAAATATACTAATAGTAAAAAGATTAATTTGAAAGTGAAAAATATAAAGAAAATAAAGAGTGAAAATAAAAGTAAAAATAAAAGATAAAATATATAAGAGTGTGATTTGTTGATAATTATTTTCTTATTGAATTTTTGATCAAAAAGAAAGTAATATTTATGAATTTTATACTAAATTTAATTGTGTATAGGATATGAGATGAAAATAAAAGATCAAATTAATATGAATTTTATTGAACAAATTATAATATATCATACATGCAATTTGTAATAATATAAAAATTAAGAACTTACAAAATTAATATTGAAAATGATAACATTATTTTTGTAAAATTGAGTGATTTAAGTCAAAATTTTCAGTTATTAAGTTTTTCACATGAACAACTTTTTTCTAAAACAAATTCTATAGATCACTAATTAAAAATGCTTTACTCTATAAAATTCGCCTGTCCTGTGTAAGAATTTTCATAAAAATTGCTCAAAATTTAAGATCTGAATCTCTACAGAGATTTTGGATCTTCAGAATCATAAATTTTATAGAGAACATTTTTGATTAGTAGTTAAAATTTGACTTTTGTCTTAGAAAAGAAGTCTTGTGGATCGAAATTTACTAATTGAACAATTTGACTAAATCACTCAATTTCACAATCTGTTGTCAAATTATTCTTAGATGATTTGAGGTTTAAAATGAATACTTGTTTATTTTGTAATAGACTAGTTGTGGCAGGAAATTTTTCGATCACGTGATCACGGAAGATTAACTTTAAAGGATGTTTCATCGTTCGGGTTATGGGTTAAAAGTGGAGGACAAAATTATATGTAAAATTATCTTCCCAACATTTTTTATTAATGATTTAAGCCAGATTTTGATATCTGTTTTCCGTATTTTTACATTATTCACTTTTTGTGTCGGATTTGGTTTGCCGGGTTGATAAAAAATTTGCTCATTCTTATTGGTTTGCGCCACTCGGAAGGACATTCTTATTGGATTACGCCACATAACGCTCACATGATCGAGGAATTTTTCTGCCACGACTAGTCTACTATTTATTTTGTTTGGATTAATATTGACGGAGATAAAAATCTTTATAGCTTGTGAGAGTCACTGTATTACGCCTGCATTTTGCTGTATCAAAATAGAGCCTTTTATTATTTTCACACAACAATAGAAGTAAAGCTCTGTTCGGGTCGGGTCGAGTTTTGAGGTCAGCCCGAACCGATAATTTCGGGTTGGGTCGGATTCGGATCGGGTTTGATCCGAAAATCGTAAAATAGTTTTTCGTTAGTAACTTTTATTCTTACTAAGGCACTTGTATTTTGTGTCTAAGTAGCGTTATTCGGAATGTAATTGTGTATATACCCACAAATTTTTGTTTAATTCCAATTAACATTGAACGAGAAATAACGTTTTTTAGGCTGACCCGAAATATTTCGGGTCGGGTTTGACCCCA